ACAACAGAAAAGTGAGTGAAGGGAGATGTCAGTGTAAGATATGACAAAATAATAATTTATAAATTATCAAGGGTTCATGAGGGAGGAGGGAGCAGCGAGGGAGGGGGGAAAATGAGAAGCTGATGCCAAGGGCTTAAGTGGAGAGCAAATGTTTTGAGAATGATGAGGGCAACGAATGTACAAATGTGCTTTACACAATGGATGTATGTACGGATTGTGTTGAGAGTTGTAGGAGCCCCCAGTAAAATGATTAAAAAAAGAAGAAGAAAGAAATGGGAGTTTGAGTGCAGACCCCATCATGGAGCACCAAAGCTTGAGGTCAACATAACCACACTCTTAAACAGAGAGGTCTATAGGGCCCACCCTGATGAGAGCCCTTCTATTCTTTCAGCCCTGGGATGTTCTCAAAATGTAGGCAGGATATACTTAAGGTCATATTTTGGCTCTCGTAGACTTGTTTTCAATGATTTCAGCTTCAATTGAACTTGTATAAGAGCAATTGATCAGTACCACAATCTTCCCGTGACTTCGATTTGGCTGCTACTATTGAGCTTCTCCATCTCTTCCCATAGAAGTCGTTGATTTGACTTCAATGAACATCTGAAGAAGTCCATAGGGATAGTCACTTTCTGTGTTGAAAAAAGGTATTTGCAATAAAAAAGTCATTGGTCTTGTAAAATTCTATCAAAGATTTCCAGCTTTGATTCTAGTTCCAAGCATATATTTCCTTCCTCTTTGCTTTCAACTCTTGCATTCCAATCACCAATAATTATCAGCACATCTTGATTGCATGTTTGATCAATTTCAGACTCAAGATGGTGGTAAAATTCTTCAACACTAGCTTGAATAATAGTTGAATTGATTTCCTTATTTTGGATAAGTATTATCCTATCAGAGATAGAATGCATTTCAAGATGGATCTTGAAATGTCCTTTTTGATGATGAATGCGCCATTCCTCTTAAATATTTCATTCCCAAAATTGTAAACCATATGCTTTTCTGATTCAAAATGGCCAAAACCAGTGCATTTGCGCTCAATGATCTTTTTTTATGCCTATGATCTTGATCTTTATGCATTCTATTTTATTTTTGATGACTTCAATTTTCCTCGATTCATACTTTATACATTCAAATTTCCAATCAATAGTTTGCAGCTGCTTCTTCTCAGTCTGAGTCGTGCCCCATGAGCAAATGCAGGTCCCGAAGGCTTTACTCCCCCAAGTGTCCCTCCGTCCCTGTCATTCTGGGTGACTGTACTTTGAGTAGGGAGTTCTTCCTCGGTCATATTTTTAGGGGCTCATCTTCTGGCACTTCCTCTGAGAATGTTCTGTTTCTATTAATTAGGCATTCTATATCTGAAAATGTTCCTAATTCCTTCAAAGTGGACACCCTTGTCCTTCTTCATAGTCTGTTTTTAGTCTGAAAGCTCTACTGAAACCTGTTCACTTTGAATGTCCCTACTCGTAATTGAAATATCGACGGCATAGCTTTCAGCATCACAGTAACACGCAAACCACCAAAGTATACCAAATTGACAGAACCGTGGTGGACTGTCATCTTAGTCTTCTGCAAACCAGGTACTCCAAATTTAAACTCTAATATCATTTCTTCCTTTGGCTTTGGATTTTATTACTTACAATCCTTGGATCACACAGGCTGGTGTGTTTCTTCACTGTGGATTTGGCTGATTCCTCACTTAAATGGCTGTTTGTTTGAAAACAAACCTTTAAGACCCCAGATGCTACTCTTCCTGATAGCTGTGTTCCATCTGATTTCTTCACCATACTTTCCTATAGCACCTTTATCTTCAGTGATCTCTTCGTGAGGACATGTATTGAGCAGGGCCATGTCATAATGTGAGGAACAGGAGGATTTCTCTTAAGTTGTCTCCCCAAAATATGTACCAGACTTAGCTGCTTAAGAATGACTGTACAATAGGTGATCAGCGAAAGTAGGTCAGAGGTTATTCTCCTTAACATCAGCCATCTATAGTGGCTAGACTATTAGTCTGACTCACCCTAAATAA